CTAACTGTCCTTCCCGGGCCCTTTTGGACCCGCCTTGAGGCCCCAAAAACACTCCAGCATTGGGCCGAAGAAGGCCCCCAGGGGGCACCAGAGGCGCTCCAAGAGGGCCCCGAGGGAGTCCAATAGGGCCCAATGTCAAATCGCACCGCGCGACTTGTAATAGCGGCTCTTCGGGGCCCAGGCGGGAGCCTCTTCGGGCCCTTCTGGGGCGCGCAGAAACTCCCAGAGACCACCGACGAGCTTGCAACGCGGAGCATATGGGACATCCCCCTGGATCGCTTTCCCGGCGGGCGGCCGGGCTTCTCGAGGCCCCCAACACGGCCTCGCGCCATCCCGTGGGGGCGCTCTCACAGCCGCGAGAGAGCTCCAAGATGGGGCCCGTTTTGGCCTGTCTTGGGTCGTCTCGGAAGTCGCTCGGGCTGTTTCGAAGCCCCTGGGGCAATCTGCAAGGTCTCTCGGGCCCCCTTGGCGGCACCTTGGGCGCGCCCGCGAGCTACCTCAACGCGCCCGGTAGCCTCGTTTTTTTGGGGGGGGGAGGGGGGCCAAGCGCGCCCGCCCTTCTGCCCCCCCTGCGCGCCCTCGCCCCCCCGACCGCCCCGCAAGGCCCCCCCCTCTCTCCCCGACGCGCTCGCCTTTCAACGACGGGTGGCGGATGAACAAAAGCAGGAAAAAGGCCCCAAAGCAGCCTCCGAAAGATCCCGTCGGGGGGGGGGCTTTGGTGCAACCCGTCGAACCCACAAGTGCCCGCGTCTGACGCCACGTTCACCGTCGGGGGCCACGGGGAGATAAACCGCGACCCCCAACGGCGCCCGTGGAAGTGGCCCGCAACTGCGAAGCCCAACGCTCGCACCCCAAGACCGCAGCACGACAAACGCTGATCATCGACCTCGGGGCGGCGGGCGGTTTGCGGCAACAGCTGCAAAATGCGATCGAAGCAGCCCGTCCGTGCTCTGGGGAACCGCGCGTGGACTCGGCCGCGGTGCATTTCGTGCCCGAGTCGGAGCCCGAATGATGTGCCCGAATGGGGGCCCGAATGAAAACGATAATGTGCCCGAATGGAAACGAGAATGCGCCCGAATGGCATTGGAATGAAAGCGATGATGTGCCCGAATGGAAGCAAGAATGTGCCCGAATGGACTGGGAAGAAAACGATTATGTGCCCGAATGGAAAATTATGTGCCCGAACGGAAACCACCATGTGACCGAATGGAAACGATGATCTGCCCGAATGGAAAAAAGCAATCCGCCTGAGACATCCCCCTAAAATCAAATAATCCGGGCACGCCAAGACGACCGCATCGATTCGGGCACCGATTCGGACACCGATTCAGGCGCCGATTCGGGCACCGATCGGGGGCGGCCCCGTGCACTTTCGACCCATCAATTCGGGCGCCAGTCGGGCGCGGCCGGGCGAAACGTGGGCCGACGGCAAGCGCGACGGGGAGTCGGTCGCGCGAGCGCCGCATTCGGGCACGCCGCGGCGGTGGCGGCGGCAGTGGCAGGCATCGGCGCAGTGGCGGCGGTGCTGGCCGCTGTCGCGCGCGCGGTAGGTGGCGCCAGCGGGGCCAGCAGTGGCTTTCGGGGCACCTGTGGCGTCGGCGTTTGCTGAGGCGGGAGAGGAAGGAAGGTGGCTGGTTCAGGCGGCACTGCGGGCAGTCGCAGTCGCTGCCAGGAATGCCATCATGTCAGAGGCCTCGGTAGTGTCAAGGGTGATGGCGGCGTTGGCTGCGGTGATGATGCCGACGCTTGAAGTGTCTCTCTTGGACTTGTAAGGGCAGCGGCGTTGGCGGCAATGTCGGCGGCGCTGGCGGCGGCTTTGCGGGGCGTCGGCCATTTTGGCGTCGCCGGCTGCGTGCGCGGCAATACTGGCGGTCGTGCTTGTGGCGGCGGCGGTCGCTGGCAGTGGCGGGGTCGGCGTGGCCATCGCCGCAGAAACGGACCGTTCGGGAACGGCCTACAGGGGGGTGTTAACAGTGGCGCTGAATGGCAGTCGCCGCGGCAACGAACTCGCCAGTGGTGATGTACGTTGCGGCGACGGCGGTGGCAGTGATAGTGGCACAGGCATCGATGTTGGCTGCGTTGGAGGCGCTGCCGCTCGCGGAACGCCTGCGACATGGCACAGCGTCGGAGGGGGGCGAGCGCGTCCCCAAGAAGGCCCCTGATAGCCCAAGGGAGCCTCCAATATGGCACCGGGTAGCCCAGGCCAGGACAACATATGGCCCAACGCGCGTCCAAGAGCCCCCAAGACAGCCCAAGGGCGGCCCCAGCCGGCGACGGAGTCTCCCAAGGCGCCCCTCGCGAACCCCATATACTTCATACACTCATACAGGGTCGACAATGCTTGCCTTTTCGCCTTCTCGCCCGCTCGGTTTTGCTGAGGCTTGGAAAAGGTTCCGATAATGCCCAAAAAAACCTTTGAAAGGCCCGCGAAAGACCACGGGTGGCCCGATCAGCGCCCGCGGGGCCCACGACGGCCCCATTTATTTGCTGAAGCACCGGTTTTACCCCTCATTGCCCCCCCCTGCCGCCTGTCCTCCCCCGATCTCTCCACCCCTCCGCCTTTTATCGAATCGCACGCCGCGCTAGGCCGATCTCACTCGTGGGCCGCCGTGGGCCCTGACACAAGACTTCCTGAACCCGAAAAGGCACCCTGGGGCCCTAGAGGGCCGTTTAGCCTGGAACCCTGAAGCCCCTGAGACACAGCCCATGTCGGCAGACCCGTCACGCGGGGCGCATGCGCGCGGGTCGCCCCCACGCGGTGCGCGCAGGTAGCGAAGCCGCAACCGGGTTTTCCATAAGTCGAGGAGGGGCACTGGCAGCAGCAAAAAAGGGGGGGGGAGCAGCAGGGAGAAAGGGGGGGGGAGCAGCAGGGAGAGGACCGATATGTGGAGACGCCACAAGCAGTGAAGAGAGGGCGGCCGCAGTGGCAACGGCAGGCGCGAGGTGGAAACAAGCTAGGGCCCGACCCTCCCTTCCGAAATCTCCCCTGCCCGTTGCCGTTGGCCCCCTGGTTCCCGGCCCTTTCCCCCCCCCTTCGTATGCCCGTTCCTGCGCGCTCTTCCTCCCCATCGTTTTCCCTCCCTTTCTCATGGTCAGATGCGAGCAGAATCTCTGTTTTTCCCCCAGGAAAACGAAGCACTTAAATCTGTACCGCAGGACCGGCGCAACCACCAGACGATGTACTGATACTGCCAAGTCTTCTACCGAACCGCTGCCTGCAATGAACCATGTTCCCGAAGAGCGGCAATGGCCCCGGACTCGGGCAGGAGCAAAGAGAAGCAATTGTACGACTTCCTTTGGAAACGTATCGGCCCCACTGCTGCACAAAATTTGTGTTATACCCGTACAAGGTGGCCCAAACGGCTACGCCAATAAATCAAACACAACATAGCATAATGCAATAATGTAGAGGTGGAGGAGGAGGACGACGACGACGACGACGAAGAAACGACGACGACGACGACCAAGCTCGTGAATGCGTAGACCAAATGGGGCTTCGCCCAGGGTGCGCGCACAAAGGACCCACACGAGCAGAAGTGGGAGAGACAGAAAAAAACAGGGAAACAAGAGCGAGCAGGCACAGACTAAATGAAACAGTGGAACTACACAAGGGGGGTGCAGGGGGACGGGAAGCTCTGAGAGCAAACCGCCCCTGACGCCCCCGAGGCAGTGGACGCCGCCCCTCACGACGAGGGGGCAGCGCGGGGTGAAAACAAAAAAACTAGGAAGAGCACGCAAAGAAAAGCTGCAACCAAGCGGGGAGGGGGGACAGCGCGCGAGAAAGACAGAGAAAGAGAGACAGAGCCAGAGGAAGAGAAGGACACAAAGGAATCAAACAAGCGGCGACGACGACTGCGGCGCCCCCCCCCCGCCCCTCTCCTCGCAATCCCCCCCCCGCCCCCCCCCGCGCCGAACAATTCCTTCCCTGGGCCCCCCGCAAATCCATCATCTCCCCCCCCCGACTCGCCCTCCGTCTCCTCCTCCTCTGAGCACCCCTCCTCGCCCCCATGACCCTCCCCTTCTGGCAATGTATATATCATCGTCATTATTTTCGTCCGCATCTATTCCCCTTCCTCCTTCTCCTCCTCCTCGCCCGCGACGCGCGCTCAAGGTGCCTCGCGCTTGGGGGCCGCGCAACAATGCTCTGGCGCGCGGGGCGCGAGAAGTGCCGAGCGCACCGAGTGCGCCAGATACACCAACTGTGCGAAGTACGCCAGGTGCTGCTCTGGCCGCGCCAGGTTCGCCAACTGCGCCCGGTTCGCCACTTGCCGCAGGAATGGCAGGCGCGCCACGCGTGCAGGTGCACAAGGCACGGAACGGCCTAACTAGACGCGAAGCAAAAGCCCCGCAAATAACCGGCCAAGTAATGGCCATAACACTCTCGCGGCCCCGAAAACCACCACGAACCATCCATCTAGACCCTACCGAGCCATCGTCCGGCAACGTATCAACGCTCCACGTCAATCGCAAGAAGCGGTCGACCACGACCGACCCTTGAGAACGACGGCTAGCAAAACACTGCAACACTTCACCACGAACAACGCACATGCTTATCCAGACAGGACGCACGTCACACCACGCGAGCATCTCCTCTGCATGTCGCTACATCCATGGGCGAAATCAACGCCAAACCACGACAAAAAACGCATTCGGGTAAAATCCGCTCGGGACTTGGACCCGTTCGCCCACGACTGGCGCCGTTCGTCGCCGTCGCCGTTGCCGCCGCCGTCGCCGATGTCGGAAGGCGGGAGGTGAGAGGGGCAGGATGAACGATCGGTTTTCTCCTGCGCGTGCACCCGTGCAGCAGTGCCCTCAGTGCAGCAGCGGCCGCGGTTCGGCCGCCGCGCAAACGGAGAAGGGGCGTGCCCGTCCAGCATTGGCAGGGCGGCTGCCACAAGGAGCGAGGCGCGCCGCCCTGCCTGGAGCGAGAGCCAACTATGGCAGTGCGCGCAGGGTGAAAAAGCACTGCGCACCTACATGAGCAAGACCGACTGGCTGTACTAGCGGCGACGTGTCAGGAAACTGGAAAGACGCATGGCCAGATTCACAGGACATCCGCCGACATGTGCTGTCCACCCGCGGCCGTGGAAGCAACGGCCCTCTTCCCCAGGCCCAGCGTTTCGCCCCTGATCCACCTTTGGTGACCCCGTGGCCCCCATACCAGGCCCTGGAGGCCCACATCGAGGAAACACCGCCGGCTGAAAAAACACGTCGTCGGAGTTTCAACAGGGGGTGCAAATGACACACGCGGAGGGCCAGCGCCCCAGGCCACAGGAGCGCCGAGAGCTGGAACGCACATCTGGCCACGTGCGCACCCAGCTCTCGCCCCGGCCCGCCGCTTGTGTGTGGTGTGTGGGTGGTGTGCATTGTGTGTGTTATGTGCGGTGTGCGTTGTGTGGTGTGTGTTGTGTGCATTGTGTGTGCTGTGTGTTGTGTGTTGTGTGAGTTGTTTGTGTGTTGTGTGTGTTATGAGTTCTGTGTGCGTTGAGTGAGTTGGTTGTGCTGTTGTTATGTGTTGTGCTGTGTTGTCTTGTCTTATAGTGTGCTATGGTGTGTTGTGTTGTGGTGTGTTGTGGCGTGTTGTGGTGTATTTGTGTTGTGTGTTGTGGTGTGGTGTGGTGTGTGATGTGTGGTGTGCGGTGGATGTGCTGTGTATGCTGTGTGTTGTGTTGTCTGTGTTTGGGTGTGTTGTGTGTTGTGTGTTGTGTGTTGTGTTGTGTGTTGTGTATTGTGCGTGTGTGCGTGCGTGTTTGCGTGTGTGCGTGTGTGTGTGTTGTGCGTGCGTGCGTGCGTGCGTGCGTGCCTGCGTGCGTGTGTGTGTGTGTGTGTGTGCGTATGCGTGTGCGTGTGTGCGTGTGTGCGTGTGTGCGTGTGTGCGTGTGTGCGTGCTTGTGCGTGGTTGTGCGTGTTTGTGTCTGTGTTCGTGTGCGTGTGTGGTATGCTGTGTGTTGAGTGTTGAGTGTTGAGTGTTGTGTGTTGTGTGTTGTGTGTTGTGTGTTGCGTGTTTGTATGTGTGTGTTGTGTGGTGTGTGGTGTGTGGTGTATGGTATGTGGGTCAGTGTTGTGTGTGGTGTGGTGTGTGGTGAATGGTGAGTAGTGTGTGGTGGGGAGTGCGTGGTGTGTGGTGTGTGGTGTGTGGTCTATCATGTGTGGTGTGTGGTGTGTGGTGTGTTGTGTGTGTGGTGTTTGGTGTGTGTGGTGTGGTGTGTGGTGTGTGTGCGTTAGTGTGCTTCTGTGTGTGGTGTGTGGTGTTGGTGTGCGTGTGTCTTTGTGTATTTGTGTATGTGTGCTTTGTTTGTTTGTGTGTTTGTGTGTTTGTGTGATTGCATAGTTGTGCGTGTTTGTGTGTGTGCTTGTGTGTCTTGTGTGTTTCTGTGTTTGTGTGTGTTTGTATGTTTGTGTTTGGGTGTGCGTGTGTGTATGTGTATCGTTTAGCCCAGTATCGCAGCTGCTTCGGCTCGTAGGTCCACACCCTACCAATCTGCCTTGTCGGGCCGTGCTGGGCCAGCGTTTCATCCCACCTATCGGATGGTCTGGCAGCCGTTACAATTTCTGTTGCGCGTCATGGTCTAATACGGCTATTCGGTGATTTAGTGGCCGCCAATTCACACCAGACTGTTTGCGCTTCAGTTTACTTCGAATTAAGTAGCCTCCTCGGTCTTCTGGCCGCTGCACGGTTTTATGGACTCTTCCACACCACCCATTGATGCACTCTTCAGTGTGCGACTCTTCGTGCACTGTGCCTTCGACGGTGCTCGATCGTAAGTAGCACTTCCATCTGCTGCCCGCGCTTGAGGACCCTCTGCGCCGCCAGCTCCAAAGTGTGTGGGTATGTGTATGTGTGTGCGTGTGTCCGGCTTTCGGCACCCAGGCCTCCGACGTCGTGATTGGCAAACAATCAAGATATTCGACGGTATGATCTGTTTTAGCTGGCGTGTTTTCCTCGATTCCGGCCTCCGGGTCCCGGTATCAGGACCCGGGGTCACCAAAAACGGATCTGGGGCTACCACTGGGGACCCAGACTCCTGACGTCATGATTTTTTCGCGACGTCAATCCCCTCCCCAGGGCTCGATTCCCTGGGACAGAGTTTTCATCCTGAGCCGTTTTTCACGGCCACGAGGCCCAACAAGGGCCCCCAGAGGCCGAAAATAACGAAAAACCTACGCGAGGGGGTCTGGGGAAGGACTCGGGACCTCTGAGGACGCGCCTGGACAAAATCACATCGTCGGAGGTCTGAGCACGCGGCTCCCCGGAGGTCTGGGCCACTTCCCCCGGGGGCCGGCTTCTCGTCGCCTGGGTCGCTTCCTGACGGCACTGGGGCCCGTCGAGGGCCCCCAGAGGCCGAGGACAGAGGAAAACCTCCACATGTCGCCGCGCCGTTCGTTCTCGACGCGCCCAAGTGGGCGACGCCGACGCCACGACAAGCCCACGGCAAGTCCTGCGCCCCGCCGTCCAGGGAGACGCAGCCGGCGCCGCGGCAAATCCACGGCAAGCCCACCGCGTCCGAGGCGGTGCCCTGGTGGCCGCGGCCCCCATCCCAAGACGCGAGGCCGCGCGCCGGAACAAACGGATCGGCGACGTATTGACCTGATCGATCTTATAGCAACATCGCGAAAAAGCGAGACCAGATCCCCAGGCCCCCATTTTCTCTGGCACTCTTCGAGCTGGATCGATCCGTGAGAGCCCTGGCGCCCGAAACCGGGCGAAAACACCCGTTGCGAAAAGATTGCGACGCCAGGATCTCAGGGCGAGACGTCGGGCGTCTGGGTCTTCAGCTTGCTGTCCGAAGGAAAAGGACAGAAAGCCACTAGAAGGGACCCAGACCGCCGATACTATCTGACGTCAACCCACAAAGTCTTTCACCCTGGGCCGTTTTTGGACGGCCCCGAGGCCCAGCGAGGAACGACGGCGACGACGACGACGAAGACGGCGAAAACGACCCCCGACGCAATTTTCGTCGTGATTTTTGTCACGACGCGAGAGTCTTTGGATGAGGAGGACAAGCGGCAGCCCTCAGGGGCAGCCTACGGCTGGCTCGCAGCAGCGGCTGGCGCTCCCGTCCCCACAGCCGCGGTCAACGTGGGGCGGCCTCCTGGGAGCTGGCCCTCGTCGAAGCCCTGACAGAAGAAACGAATTATCCCAGTGCGACCCTACCTAGGAGTTGGAGCCCTTAGGAAAGCAGCATTAGTAGTAACAGTAAAGCTAAGCTAAAGCTAAGCTAAAGCAAAGCTAAAGCTAAGCGAAAGCTAAGTTAAAGCTAAGCTAAAGCTAAGCTAAAGTTAAGCTTAAACTAAAGCTAGGCTAAAGCTAAGCTAAAGCTAAGCTAAATCTAAGCTAGAGCTAAGCTAAAGCTAAGCTAAAGCTAAGCCAAAGCTAAGCCAAAGCTAAGCTAAAGCGAAGCGACAGTAAAGTTAAACTTAAGCTAAAGCTAAGGTAAGTCAAAGCTAAAGCTAAGCTAAATCAAAGCTAAAGCTACGCTAAGGCTAAGCTAATGATAAGCTAAAGCTAAGCTAACGCTAACTTAAAGCTAAGCTAAGCTAAGCTAAAGCTAAGCTAATGCTAAGCTGAAGCTAAGCTAAAGCTAAGTTAAAACTAAAGCTAAAGTTGTTAAACCTCCCAGGGGACTGGGGGAACCGCGGGGCGGATCCTGGGGGAACCGCCCGGGGCGAGGCCCACTGCCCGGCCCATTTAACATAGAGAGTAGGAACCCTTCTAGGCAGAGCCTAGGTAGGTAACTACGCATATGCCGCCGCGCCTTTTGTTCTCGTTGCGCCCAAGTGGACGACAACCCGCCGCGCCCGAGGCGGATTTTTCCCGGTGGCCGCAGCACCCTCCCCAAGACGGAAGGCCGCGCGTCGGAACAAACGGCGCGGCGACATATACAGTAGATACGTACGGTGAGAAATCTCACAAAAAGGAAATATGCGGGCACATCTGTCGACGATCTCTAACCTTCCTCAGGAGCCCCAAGGCTTCTGCGAGTCCCCAGGAAAATCGAGGGATCAGAAATTTCCGCGAGGCACCTGTTCGAGTTCTTGTTCGGGGGATCGGGGGAGCAGGCCGAGTTCATATTCGATGTGCCTACTGGACACACCGATCTTGGCCAGGCCAATCCTGAGGCCAGTGTCGGTGCATACGCCCTCCTGGCTCGGCCAGGGAGTCACATGCACCAGACCTTGGGCTCAGGGTTGACCTGGCCAGTGGCCAGGATCGGTGTATGTGCACAGTTCTCCTCGCCCGACCTTTCTGCAGTGCTCCTTGATCCAGCGCTCCTCCAACTCGGTCACGTAGCCCAGCACCTCCTTCGGGGGAACAAGAACCGACAGAGGCACAAGCACTTCGAGGCCCGCGCGGACCTCTCGGATCTACGCTGGGGCCCCGTCCATGATGTGCAGAACCCGCCCGCAAAGGTTCCGTGAGCCCCCCCTGATACAAAATGTATGCAGAAAGCCAGGAGAGAGGATGGGAGAAAGGCAAGGAAGCAAGACGACAACACGTTGCTTCGCCCTCGTGAATCAGCGTTGATGCAAGCTTGGGTTCCACGGCTCCTTCCCGTCGTAGGACCTTATCTCCTCTGAGGGCAGCGATTAGGGGGGGACCGGCTCAGGGGGGGAACATCGACCTGGAATCGGCGATACATCGCCGGTACATCGGCCCTGAGCGGGCAAGGCTATCGGGCCCCTACGGGCGATCAATGGGCAATTGTGGGTCGACGCATGCCCCCTTGAGCCTATCGCCCCCTAAACGTTGCCCCTGATCCTCGGACTTCGGGTCGAAGTAACCGCTACCGTAGTCGTACGTGCCCTTCGGGATGGGCGGTGGGGCGGCCTCGTTGGTGAGCAAAGTCTTGCCCGCGGGGTTGAGGCCCTGCCGCACCTCGGTGTAGAAGCGCCGGTCACCCTGAGAGACGTACTGCCAGTTCTTGTCCTCCGGGAGGGCGGCAGGCACAGGAGCATGCAGCACGAGGGGAGAGCAGGAAACGGCGATCCAGGAACGCAGAGTGCACTCGAGCACCTACATGCGATAGGACCAGTGGAGGGAAAACACATGCTGCAGCAACTGCTTTCCAAAGTCCTGCGCCAATGTGTCGTGCGACGTGGCAGGCGTCTCTCTCTCTGCGCGGGGGGCGGACAGAGAGGCCCCCTCGGCAAAGAACACCCTGCAGTGAAAATGGCCTGGGTGGGCAACGCCCCGCGGGCGCTGGCCAGCGACAGCGGCGGCGCCGCCGTCCTCTCGAGAGGCCACGAGCCCAGACCCCCGACGTCGTGCTTTTCTCGCCACGTCGACCCCCGGCGGTCTCGACCCCTTCCCCCGGGACCAGCTTCTACCCGAGTCGTTGTATGACGGCCCTGGGGCGAGGGCCCCTAGACGCCGATTTCGCCGACGACGACGACGACGACGACGACGACGACGACGACGACGACGACGACGACGACGACCCCCGTCGCGGTTTTCGTCACGACTCGAAGGGGTCTGGGAAGGACCCCACGGGCGAATCCGCGGCTCGGCTTGGCAGGATGGGGTGCCTCATCAGTCCCGGCGGCCGCGGGCCCGCTAAGAAACGGCGGCCGCACCGCCCTCTCGAGAAGCCGACGAGGGCCCCACTGGCGGATGCGCGTCCACAGTTCCGCCCACCCTGTGCGGAGGAGGAGGCGGAGGAGGAGGAGGAGGAGGAGGAGGAGAAGGGGAAGGTGGAGGGGGAGGAGGAGGGGGAGGAGGAGGAGGAGGAGGAGGAAGAGGAGGAGGCAGAAGAGAAGAGGTGCGAGGGACGAGCGAGGAGAAGAAGGCGAAGGATGGGCGAAAGGAGGAGGAGGAGGAGGAGGAGGAGAAGGAGAAGTTTCTTTCTCTCCCCAGAGAGAGGCGGCAATCCACCGCCCGCCCCGCTGACGTCCCAATCCGTGTGAATGGCCCGAGCACCACCCCAACAGCAAGGGCTCCACTACAAGACGCTGGCACGGGGAGAGCCTCGTCGAGGGCGCCACGAGGAACGCGGAGCGCGCCACGGCGGCATGGCGGACTTTCAGCGGCAAATCCTCCCACTTGTTTGCTATTCTGGGAAGGTCAGGGGTGAGGGCATGGGGATGGGTGATGAGGGGTGGACGTTGCAGGGCCCTTGGGGAGAGCATGTTGCGGTTTCCCCCGCCCCCCCTCGTCCATCATCTTGTCTTTACCTCCTCTTGCTTCTTGCTTCTGTTGCATGTGTGCGTGAAGGCCGACCCCCAGATAGCGCAACCACTTCGCCTGGATCGTGTCTTGGCTCGGGGGCACGATAAGGGCGCGCCTATCCAGGCGCGAGAACATTACCCGACCACCCCTCCAGCACGGGTTGAAACTACCCGTCCAGGTCCGGTCATTTCGGAGACTATGGTCCCAGGCTGCTCCTGGCGTCAGCGAGGTCGAATTCGTACGCCATGTCGTTATTCTCGTAAAAAGACGGCTGGTAGAATACGCATGAGCACAATTGATTGTCAGGGGTTGAATTGGCGCCTCATGAGCAATGGGTCAAAGTTGCGGCAGGTTTTCCTGGACGCTCGGCGTTTTGGGTGGGAGATTTCCTGTTTGACCGAGCTGCATCGTGAAGCGTGTGATTGGGACGCGCAAGAACCTAGCGTCCAAATGGTGTCTTGAGGAGTTCTTGTTTGTTCAGTGGCACAGTGTTGGCGTCCTTCTCTCCTCTCCTTGGAAGAAAATGTGGTTGGTCCAGGGTTGTCGTATCCGGGTGAGCTCGAAAAGTTGTTTTTGTCTCCTCGTCACGTATCAGGATCTTGAGTTTGCTGATGCTTCCTCTTTGGCGCCCCCCAGTAGTACCCACCACCGGGATGCTCGTTCTCTTTCTTCTTTGAGGAGGCCACTGCTTTCTCATGTACCATGACAGAGGTTGCTGACGTCGTGCTGTGGTGGGGGATTGTCACGGACACATCGCTGGCACCGACTGTAAGGGCGGACGGGGGCACCCACAGGCCACGACGGATGGCGGAAGGGAGCTCCTTCGTTGGCAGGCAGGCATCGAGCGTTTCTCCCGTTTCGATGGTTTCCTGCGTTGTTCGTTTCGGGGCATGTGGCGGCATAGCGTGAACCAGTGCTGGTGCGAGCTTAATGGTTTCTATGTTCTCCGGGGCCACACGGGATGGGCTCAGAGGATGCGCACTCATGCCGTTGACTTCTCGGACCATCGTGCCGAAGATGTTGTTTACCACGTTCCCTCGGTCTCGCCCCCCCGAGGCCGGCGCCGTGCCCCTTGGGGTCATGCCCGAGAAGCTGAAGGGGCCCTCCCGCTCTGGATCGACGCTTTGCGCGGTCCGTCCCCCGAGGCCAAACAGGTACGTCGATCTTTGGCTCGTGATTTCGACTCTTGTCTTCAGGCCGCCTAAGTATCCTGACACCCCTTTTCCCTTCGGCACGGCTGCCCTCCTTGAAGATCCGACGGAGGTCTCGGGAGCCGTCGTGTTCTACACTGATGGGTCGTGCAGGGGGGGGGCCCGCGCGGTTCGCAACCGCACCTCTCGGGCTGGGTGGTGTGTCGCGCGGGTGCACAACGAAGGCTGGCAGGCCCATTGTGGCCCTGTGATTCTTTACCCTGGGCACCCTCATTTTCTTGGGTCCTCGGCCCAATCGAATAACAAGGGAGAGCTGTCTGCGATCTGCGTGGTGTGCTTCTAGTTGTGTACCCAGAACGAGCTCCCCCATGGTAAAAGAGTGCACGTTCGTTTCGATAGTACGTGTGCGTTCAATATCATTGCGGGTGTGCGGCAACCTCTTAGTTCCCGCGAACTTGTTTTCACGTGTCGTCGGTGGTTCCAGCGCGCACTGGTGCACTTCGACATTAGTTTCTCCCACGTGAAAAAACACTCAGGCGAACCGGGCAATGAGGAGGCCGATCGGGGTGCTAAGTTGGGCGATGATGGCTTTTTTCTCTCCTGGCCACTGATGCCCGCCTCCCCCTTTTCATTGGTGATGAATTGGCGTCGCGTCCGGATGTGTCGTGCTCCTTGTATCTCGCCTTGCTGATTGAATCAGTGGAGGCTGCTGTGGGGCGAGGGACGCCGCCGCAGAAGGGAGCGCCCTACACTACCCAGGATCTGAAGATCATCGCCCAGAGAAATGAAGAAATCAGATCCAAGCTGCAGGTACTCCACGAGAGCCAAGACCCGATACGCAGTCGGTCCTTAAAGAGCGAGCTGCGGTCCGAGCGTCGATCTTTGGCCCGGTTTCGCAATCGCTGCCGCGGTGTTTTCGCGCCGAAGATGCGCGACCAGAACTGACCGGGCCATGTTTCTTCATGACACTCGTGCGTTCTACCAGCTGCTGCGCCATCTTGGTATCAGTCTCGCGGACAAACGTCGCCAAGGCAAGGTTGATTTCCTCTCGATACGATTGCCACGCATGCTGAAACCATCGGGAACGAGCCTTTCGAGTTGCCTTCTGATTCAGAAGCCTTCCTGCCTCCCCAAGCCCCGGTCCAGTGGCAATTGAAAAACACCCCCTCTCTCCCTGATGTGCTCCGGGCCATCGGGCGGATGAAAGACAGCGCCGGCGGCAAGGGCGGCATCACCATCCGCACCATCGGTGCAGCAGGACCAAACGCCACCATGGCGGCCGCGAAGCTTGTCGTCACCCTGCGGGATACTCCTGCTGAGGCGTGGGAGAAGGAGGTCGGCGCCGCCATCGGCGTCATGCTAGAAAAAAAAGGTCCTGGTCCGATTAACTTTAAAATCGCATCATACAGTTGCTCTCGATCGTGTCCAGAATCCTGGCCAATGTGATCGATTTGCGACCTGCCCCCCTTGAAGAGAGTGAAGGCGCCCTGCTGGAGACGCAGTGGGGGTTCCGTGCGAATCGCTCCACGATTGGCCCTTTGTTCGTCCTGCCCGTTGTCGCCGAATGTGCGAATCGCTATTTAGTCACGCCAGATGATGGGGGGGCTCGACGGCTTTGCTCGGCATCCTCACTCTGTGGGACACACGCAAAGCGCATCCCCGCGCCCCGCGCACGGTGGCCAGGAGGACTTTCCAGCGCACGCCCCCCCCCCCCCCGAGTGCTCTCGGTCATTGATGGTTTGCTTTCGTCCACTCGGTACCAGATGCGCACGGCGGAGGGCCCCGGCCGCCCCTTCGAGATCACCCCCGGGCCTCCGCGAGGGCTGCCCATCGAGCTGCAGGTTGTTTAATGTCTTTCATGTCGCCCCGCCTGCCGCGCTCGAACAGCGGGCCCGCTCTCTCCTGGCGGACGGTGTGCCCATGACGGCGTGCCCTGATCGCCCGCCTGCCGAAGCGCCCCGCGCTGTCCGGCCTCGCGATCGCGCCACGGCAGTGACCTTCACGCTTCTGGAAACACTCTTCGCGGGCGACACATCGGTCCTCAGCGACCCCGAGAAGGCCAACGAGTTCGAAGATCTCTTGGCTCAGACCCTGGCGCATTTCAAAGAAGATGTGCATCCTGGCAAAACAGAGCGCTTGGCCTTCGGTGGCCCCCCGCTCAGCGCACGGGAACACGCGCCCCACGCCCGCTTCCTCGGTGGTTGGCTCCAGCCGAGTGGGGTTCATGTGGACACGTCCAAAGTATTGGACCGTGCGGAGACGGGTTGGCGGAAGCTCTATCGTCAAAACTCCCGGTTGCGGATCCCACACAAGGCTCTTGGGCAGCTTTTTCGTTCGTTCGTTCTAGGCACCTTGTCGTTCTCGGCGGAGGCTCGAGGATTCACCTCGAAGCAATTGGATCAGCATCAAGTTGTTGTCAATAAATGCGTGTACGCGGCCTCCTGAAGCAGGGGGCCCTGCACATGCGCGACGAGCCCACCGTGGTTGACCTGTGGCGGCGTCTTGGTTTGAATTCAATCCAAACGGAGATTGGCGTCCGCCAATTGCACTGGATGGGGCATCTGGCCAGATTGCCAGACCATCGCCTGGGAAAACGCGCCCTGTGGATGACCTTGACGCCGGCCTCTGGCCTCGTGCATCGCCGTCTACAGCCTGGCTATGTTGCTACTCGCCATCAGCTGTGACAGAAGGTGCGAGAGCTTTGCGCGCTTGAAAGTATTTCTTCCGTCGATGCCCAGTCATTATGGCTGCCACTGGCACAGCGTGAACATGGCGCGCACTGGCGCGCCCTGGTCGGGCATTGGGATGAGGCGACCTCCGCCAAGTAAGATCAGGGCCAATGGGGGCAGAAGCATGCCCCAGGAGGTCTGCTTGACCAGCGCACTGCGCGACGCGAGGAGCATCGCCTTGCTGGCCAGGGGCGCGCGGCCACTGCCCCCGGCACCTGTTTGCCCACGTTGCGGAGACGGCGCCTTCGGTCCACGAGGTATCACGAGCCACGCCACCCCGCGTTCTAAGCTGCCTCTGGACCGCCGGGAGGCCAGGAAGCGCGAGCGCGATCGGGTTCTGGCTAAGCGCGCCGGCGCCTCGGCCCCCACTGTTCCCGCCCCCACCCCGGCGGCAAATGCTGCCTCTCGCGCGGGCGCGGGGGTTCGCAAGCCCCCCCGGCGCCTCCGGGGAAAGCAGACGCTCCTTCCGCTTTCCGCCCCCCTCCCGGTGGCTCCTCGCGCCGGCGGCTGCGCGGCAAGCAACGGGCGCCTGCCGGGTCCGAACGACGAGGGGGCCACGGCTCTCCCTGGGCCCCCCCCGGGCCCGGCCCCCCGCCCGCCCCCCCCCCCCTGGCCTCGCCAAGTGGCTCGCTGGAGGCCGGCGGCGGCGAGAATATCTCTTCGAGACCGACTTTTCCTTGCTCCCGAGCTGGCCCCTGTGGCTCCTCCACCGCGCCGAACAGGCCAGAATCTTGGATCTGCATGGTGGCCGCGCCCACCGGGCCTCCACTGGACGGAATGCCAATTCTGCCACGAGCCGCCCAAGAACCGCAACGGCCACGAGCTCTTCTGCAAGGACATGCCATACCATATGTGGCTGCAGGGCGTCAGATATGAGCATCGCGATGCCCCGGCAGACGGGCCCCGATGTCGTCGCTGTCAGACCGCGCCCTGGGAGCCGAGGGGCTGCGCGGTCCACGAGCGCAAGTGCACCGAGCGCCGGGCCCGGCGGGGCCCCCTCTGAACGCCCAGTCGCCACACGTCGCGCCGCCGATCATTGTCATGTCCCGGGCGGAGCGCAAGCGTGAAAAAAATGCGCATGCATCTAGCTTATGTCGCTGCTCACCGCCCGCGTTGGGAAGCTCATCTTTATGCTCGTCCTCGTGCTCTGTGTTCAGCCGCCGCGGCGGCCGCCGCCTGCCCGCCCTGCGCGACGCGCAAGAAGTGCCCTATAGGTGCGTCGCCCACCGCTGCTTTGGAGCCCATGATTGCCCCATCTGCTCTCGCTGCGCACGGCGCGCTGACGCCGCGCTGCAGCTCCCGCGGCGGCGTCTGCGACCCGGGGCCCGCCGCCCCCCCCGCCCGCCCTGCGCCAGGCCCACGGCGCGCGCCGCCGCATCGGCCGCGGACGCCCTCGCCCGGGCCGAAGCGCAGGGGCCCGCCGCCGACGCTGCCGGGCCCCGCGGGCGCGGCGGCGCCCCCCGGCCCGAGGGTCGCCTGGGGCCCGGCGCCGGCGAGGGCGACGCCGGCGGCCGCTGCAGCCACGCGCCCCGGCGCTGGGGCGCTGCTGCAGCGAGATCCGGGGGCGGGGCCCCTGCGGCGCCGGCACAGCAGCCCCTGCTGCAGTGGATGGTTCAGCAGCCCCAGCTGCCGCCACAGCAGCGGCCGCCCCCAGGCGGCGCGGGCGGCCTTGGAGCCGGCGCCCTCTTCCAGCAGCAGCAGCAGCGCCCCCCCAGGGCCAGCGCGGCGGCGGCGGGGAAGGCGGCGGGAAGGGCGGAGGCGGGAAGGGCGGCGGCGGCGGGGACTTGGTCAACGACCTGCTCCGCTTCATCTCGACAACGGTTGCGGCGGAGGCCTGGCGAGCTCATGACGCCACGTCTTAGGCGTTCCTGCTTGAGGAGGATATCACGAAGAATGACGTCTGCGCAAGCAAGGAGCGCCGGTTAGAAGCAAACCCCCCTGTTCCGCGCGGCGGCGGCCAGAGGACGGAGCACCCCTTCGGCATGCCGCTCGCGGTGCACTGCGCGGCCCCACTTCTCTCGCAGCGCGCGAAGGCCTGGCCGGGCGGCGCGGCGGCGACGGCTGCCGAAGGCACTCTCACTAAACAGGAAGCCGAGTTAGCCGCGCGTTTCAGCGACTGCCTCCCGACGCGCCCGAAGCCCTGGGATGGCCGGTAGTGGGTGCGGAATCTGCGCGCGCGCGCCTCGGCCGCCGACGGGGCCCGGGCCTGCCTGGCCACCATGGTCGGCGCGAAGGCCGGCGGCATTGAGTCTCAGACCTCCCGGGCCTCAGCCAGCCAGCAGGAGCGCGACCTCTGGGGCGCCTTGAGCCGGCAGCAGGGCGCCTTCCGACGCGCCTCCCAGTCATGCGCTGCACGATCAATTCGTTTTACATGTTTTTCTCGTGGATTTCTAAATGCGTTGGTACATCTGGATTGTTTGTTGCATGTCTTGGCGAACCCACGCCTACCGGGCTTTCTTCCCTCTCCAATTCGCGCCAGCCCCTCTTCCAAAATTACGCGCCGCCCCTCCAGGGAATGTCTACCAGGATTCACTTTGCACCACGCGCGCGCAATGATGACCTCGCAAGCGCGGCCCGCCGGCGGCCCGCCTATGTCGAGCAGGGGGCCGCTGGCCACGTCGGGGTGGGCGGCGCTGGAGGCGGGTGTCCACCGCGCCTCGTCAGCCGCTCTGCCCTCGTGGGCAGCGGCCGCCGCGCCCCCGACCACCTGGGCGGCGCCGACATTATTTTATGAAGGGGGGGGGCTGCCATCAACATGCCGCCAGCGCGGGGCCTCGCCAACAGCCTCCCGTCCCATTGCAAGATATGATGGCCCAGTCCGCGCGAGTGACAACTGCGCCGCCTCAGAAGCAATGTTTCCATTCGATGCATGATGGTCCAGTCCACGCGACTTGCCCGAGCATCGAGAAACCATGTCAAATTCCTTGTGAGTGGCCCCACCACCACCCCACAGGCAAAGAGACTCCAATCCGAAAGAGGACCCAAGTCCACGCGAGCGGCCCTGACACCACCCCGCAAGGAAAGATATTCCCATTCGAGATAAATACAACCCATTCAAAATTCTTGTCAGACCTGATGCTCTGACAATATTATAGATTCCCATTGCCGTGCACTCGATGGGTAGCTTACCCCCCGAACAATCCGCGAGTCCACTGCGGCCATCTCGTCAGAAAGATACATGGCAAGGCGAAGCGAGTCTCCAAGCGCAGCAGAAACTCGACCTGCACGCCCACTGCGCGCATCTCCCAAAACCACCGCACATCGACCAACGAACAGCTCGATGGGGCCACGAGTAAAGGCCACAGAATTGGATAAGTGGAATCATCTTCTCACACCTCTACTCAAAGCCGTGCCCGGGCTCTTGGAAACAACCCCACGCGCGACCCGCGGGGAGAGGGCGGCCTGAGAGCTCCCGAACATCATCGCCTGCTCTCTCGCCACATCGGCCAGCATGTCAAACGCGCTACGAAGATCAGAAGCAGACCGAGGCCCGGGGCCAGCACGAACGCTTGCCAGAGTAGCCGTTGATGCAAAATTGCCAGGAATCCCCTCATAACTACACTCGCACTTCATATAGAAATCCACCATATCGCATGGAGCATCGCCGAAAAGAGCATGCACCTCACCCACGCGAGACCGCGCAGCGGGCAGCGAAAGTTGCTTGACCAGACCAATTTGCTCGGACGAACATCCGCAAACCCCCTCTCAATACGCATACATCATCTCGTCCACAACATCACAACGTGTCCCCCCGGGCGCCAGGCGCCGACATGCGCACAGCCATCAGTGCCAAGAACAGCACGCGACGAGCAGGAGAGCACAGGTGCGTCGACATTGCATGGAGAACGAAGGAATCCGCGGAAGAGGCGGGCACTGCCGCGCACGTTTCAGCAGGCAAAGCAAAATCCACGGGTCGCCACCGTCTCCGCGCGAAGGGTCGCCACCGCCAGGACCATTCCCCTGGCCGCGGCCATCACGCAGACGCTGCCGGGAACCGCCTTGGCCACCACTCGGAGCATCGCCACGGGAGCCAGCAATGAGATGTTCGATCTCCGTTGAACCTTCACATGTTTTTTAGCGGTCACGACGCGCATGACAAATCAAACCGCCGTCGCAAAATCGCTTCTCCTATCGCAGCCGCAGCGCGGCCGTTGCGCCGGGATCACGCGAGAGAACGCGCGACGAGACCGCAGACCCGCAAACCGCGGGGCACCCGTCGACAGAGGTTCCAGCACCGACCGCTCGACGCGCGAACGGCCACGGGGGCAGGCGCCGAACCAGAGCGCGCCGACGCGAGGTGGCCCCGCTGGCTTCGGGCGCCCGAGCTATCTCGGGCAAGCCCCCGCCATCGAACGCGAAGAACGCGCAGACGGGCCCTGGCTCTTGGCCGTCGGTTTCAGCCGCGCGCGCGCGCTGGCACCCACCAGAAACGAGCCCGCCACTGCGCAGCGCAATTTACCCGACGACTCCGCGCAGAAGATATTGAACAATCGATGGGCCACGACGGCCCGAACGGCCCCCCCGCGCGGCGGGGGGGGGCGCTGAGAAAAGCCGAAGACGCGCCCCACACGCAACATGTTGCGCAAGCCCTCTCGGGCCCCACTGCAGGCCCGCAGCGGCGCCCCGCGCCGACGGGCACGGGGCGCCAACGAGACCCAGACCCCCACTGGGAAATGCCGGGCGCGCCCTCGCGACTGCGCGGATATGCTTAGACCCTCGCACCACTGAGCAGCCATGAGAACCGACCTTCGCCTCGCCACTGTCGCGAACCCTGGGCGCGTTCGGCGGCGCGGGGAAGCGCTGCGGGGCAGACCCCCGATGGGCCCCGAGGGGTCGCACTGCAACTGCCCGATGCTTGGCGGGCGGTTCTGGCGCACATGAGCGGCCCCATCCTGGCGGGCCGACCCGGCGCTCCAGATGGGCGCGCGCTGCGCTTGAGCCAGTGGCGCCAGGCCACATGGATTGAGCCAAAATGGCGACGGGGGAAGAAGAGGGAGACGAAGGGGGCAAGCGGGAGACAAGATGGCGCGGCGAAGGCGGAGACGGGCGACGGGGGGTTGAAACGCTGGGCGGGGCACGGGCAGCGCGACGCCTGCATGGGGCTGCTTGGAGTTGAAGGGGCGCTGCGGGGCACCCCCGGCGGAGCCCCCCCCTTCCCGCCCCCGCAGCGGCTCCTCGGGGGCGCCCGCGAAAGCCAAGGTGGCCCCGGGCGGGCGCCCAGCGCCGCCAATGCGGCCCCACGCCCGACCGCGCGGCCACCCGCGGCCTCCACGACGGCCCAACGCGACAACGATGACGGCCGCGACGGGCCCACGGCGGCCCCACGAAACCGCGGGGACGGCCCTGCGGGGTTCCCAAGTGCTACCCAGGGCGGCCACGGAACGCTTACAATATCAAAACACAGCTAAGCTGCCACACATATAGGGCATAATCGCGTTGCGGTCTTAGCCGCATCCAAGACGGCCCAATAAACCTCCAATATCGCCCCTGGACGGCTCGGGGGGCATCCGCGAGACCCGCGCTCAGCCCCTAGACGCCCTAAGAAACAACAACAATCATACAATGCACCCCCGTCGAGGCCCCGCGGGCCCCTCGAGAAGCCGCCCAAGACCATGAGAGGCCCCCCAAAGCCGCCCCCGAACGAAACGCTCAATAAGCCACCGCACGCTACCAAGAAGACCTCAGGGAGCCCCGAAACACGAGAAACCACATGCAGCAGGACGCCCCAAGAAGCCCCCGATTACCAAAAGATGCCCCCTGGAGCCCCCCTCCCCACCTGGACACGCTCAGCGAGCCACGTCGACACATTCAGATGTTTACTGTTCTGCATCCTGGATCCCTGGATGGCATCGTCCTGTTTTCCAAACTGGCTTAACCTCACATGCCCTCGCCCCCCCCCCCCCACCCCCACCACCACACACACACACACACGCGCATGCACGCACGCACGCACGCACGCACGCACGCACGCACGCACGCACGCACGCACGCACGCACGCACGCACGCACGCACGCACACACACACACACACACACACACACACACACACACACACGCGCGCACACACACACACACAAACACACACACACACACACACACACACACACACACACCACCACCACCACCAACACCAACACCACCACCACCACCACCACCACCACCCTACCCCACCCCACCCCTCGCAGGCCCCTCGCCGGACATTCCCGCGGCGAGACCTGGCGGGTCAGCGGGGCGGCGAAGCCAAGACTTGATGATAAGGATGGGTGCCAGAGCATGGGCGCCACCATCTGCGAGGCAGCAACGAGTACCCTCGCACCCTGGCCCCCCCTGCTGCCTGGCGCGCCACCCAGCATCAGGTCGACGCCCTTGTCCGCGATCGCCCTGAGCCACAAGTCCACGCGAACCCACTACTTTGATTTCTGCACGTGTTTCTTCTCCATGGCGAGCGCGGTCTTCAGCTTGGCGCCCTTCCCCTTGTGCTTGATGATGCAGACCATGGGCGCCCCGTCGCTGTGGCTGAGCTGTATGTCCTCGCAGGTGCGATGGCCCTCCTTCTCGCGCTCGGCGTTGGCCTCCAGGCCGCAATGCTCCCGCAAGGCTTTCGCCGACTCCAGCTAGGCCCCTGGGGTAGAGCGAGCACCATTTTCGGCGTCAACTTTGAGAACCAAGAGCGCGCTCTTCACGGCCGCAGCGATCTCCTCGAGCGCGCCGTCGGCCAAGCTACCCGACCACTTCTCACGGCAGGGGCCCTGCAGCACGCCGCGCCTGACAGATCGGGCGCCCCCCGATTGTGATGCGTCCTCACTGCGCGGGCCGGCGACGAAGATCTCGGCATCTACCGAGAACTCCTGATACAACCATGGAGAGCTATCCTCGACGAAGGTCGCGGCCTCTGCAACGATCATGTCGACGCGCTCGGGCAGCGCGACGACTCGCGCTGCCGCCGCCTTCATTTCGACCACTTTCTCGAAAGGGCAGGCGAGGGCGCCAAGGGGCCGGGCGCCGCGCTCGCCCTTCAGCCCGAGTGCCGCGGCCGCGCCCCAGTCGATCAGCGCCGCCATGCCCTCAGACGCCCTCGCCATCCCGTCGATCCAAATGGGGCGCCACGGCGACAGCGAGGACCCGTCTTCCCGCGATAACTCCAGCAGCTTGTCGACCACCGAGGAGGTGCAAACCCCCTTGCACTCGTTGTCTGGGCATTCTACCGCGAACGTCAGGGCGGACGCGCTCTCGCGAATGACGCGAATGAGCTGGTTGGCCAGCTCCTCCTGGCAGGTCGGACGCGTCGGGGAGTGGGAACTGGGAGCAGCTGCTGCACTAACTCGCCCCTCTTGCTCGGATGCCGGACAACCCCCTGGCCCTGCACCCCAGACATGAAGGGCTTCAAGACCTCGCGGGGCATGGCCGCGCCAGCGCGCGAGGCGAGTTCGGTCGCGGCCTCGGCGGCGGCATCCCATGGCGGCCTCGCCTTCAGGCCAGCGGTCTTGAAGACCTCGTAGAAACACATGTAACTCTCGAGGGCGGTGGCCATGCGCTGAAGGGACTGGGCGGCATTGAAGTGCACTCGATGGATTCGCCCTTCTGCATCTCGTTTATCAGCTTCGCCCCATCATCTGCCATTGTGCATGGCATTCTCCCCCAGTCGGCCACTGCGCCTGCGCGGTCTATTCCACGGGGGGCCCGCCTACGCGGGGAAGTAAGAACTGTTGCAGAGATGCTCTCCAGTTTGCCCTCTCCCCAACCCGTCCGCCCCGACTATCATGCCCACCCAATGGCTTATTTACGGACCCCGACATGCACCACCGACTAGCGATTCGAGCTGCGCTGTTGGATGGGACGGGGGGGGTCGCTGGCACTGGAGGCGGGGCGACTGGGATGCAATGCGCGTGGAAACCAAACAAACACCTGCCAGCATGCCCCATCGAGGCACCCTCCTGCCGCGCAAAGCGTTACCTGCGCGCCCCGATGCTGCGCCAAACGCTAGCAAGGCTGACACGCGCATCAAACGCGCGCTTGCCCCCACCGACCCCCCTATTCCCCGCGCGCCTGAAATGCCCCACTCCGCCGTGCCCCCCATCATAAACTTGTCATAAACCCCGCTCTGCTCATTCACGCATCGGCTGCTTGCCACGCTGATTGCCCCGACAATGCAATCCCAACCCCTCCTAAACAAGTCGGCCCCAACTACGCCGGCACGGCTTGCTCTTCCGGAACCCAACGTGGGCGAGGAAGAACTCGAGCGCGCCCCGGAGATGGCTCGGGTGGTCTGGGCGGAGGGCCCTACCGATGAATACAGCAACGAGTTTGCCGCGAGCGACGGACGTCGCGTCACGGGCCCCATGCTGGAATGATTTGGATGCCATGCCCATGTTGCCCGCGTGCCCTCTGAGTTTCTACCGGGCGGTTTGCACAGGCAGCGGTCGGCAGCCCAGCAGAGGTAAGCATTCAGCGAGGGAGGCGCTGCTCTCGCAACCTCTGGCGCGACGCCGTCCTGCACCGCCCTGCGCGACGCAGCGCACGTCTTGTCGATAAGGTCAAAAACATGAGCAACTGCATTGCGGCCGCGCGCTCTCATTGAAACAACCTGCCCTGCAAGTTCTCCGCGCCGCGGGAACATCGCAAACATCGCGCGCGGGCGTTGCCCGAGCAAGGCGCTCCAATCGCCGGCGCCCCCGCCATCGCGACCACGGAAGAGGCGGTGAAGAAAAATGCCTTTAAGCGCCTCCAGGGGACCTGTCGGCGAGGTCTCCAACAAAGCATTCTCTGCTGCACCAGCCTCGGACGACGCCCGCGCGGCAGCTCGGCCCCTCCGAAGCGCCAGACGCGCAGCCCGACCTATCTCGACGAGCTGACCTGGGCGCAGGGGCGGCGCGTGGACGAGCAACGCTGCTGCCGCCGAGCGGCACCCCGCCCCTTGCGCCCCGTGCATCGTCGGCTTTCTCTGCCCGCTCGCTGCACTTCTGGAGGCCCTCCGCGTCGAGCTGCGAATACCTCGCGGACAACTCCTTCACGGGCGGGCAAGCCGCCCCCCGCGGCCCTGCCCTCTGTTCGCCGCGAAACGCACCCCATGACGATGGATTGCGAGACTTCGGCTTCGGCTCGCCCTGGTGGCCATGGTCGTCGTCGTCGCGCCGACTGGCGGCGCCTCCCCGCTCGGCTCCGGCGATGAACGCATGCCCCCGCCAGCCCCTGGCCGCTGTCTCCAGCTGCTCATTGACCCAGTATGTGTTCAGACCATACATATCAGCAGCTCGTCGCTGCACGGACCCCCCCACCTGGACACGTCTGTTATTTTTCTGGTGGCGGCATTCGATGTGAGAAGTCTCGTCTGCCACGAGATGCGCCGCAGTCCTCGGGTCGGCCTGGGCACTGGGCGAAAACAACTGCTCATCGTAAAAAGAACTAACTCCATAGACCATGCATCCAGCTGTTTACCGCACCCAACATCTTCCACCACCTCTGCTGCGAGCGCAAGGTGGTTGACGATCTCGAAAGTCTTGCGCGGATAGGTAGTGCGATCGGCGCGCAGTTCGTGCATGATGAGGAGGCTGCGCGCCAAAATCATATATATATATATACAAAAAAACGTTGCCGTCCACTCCTTACCCATGTGCGCTGCTGGAATAATTTGCCATACTTGCAAGTCCGACACCAGCATCCACGTCTCGTCGACACGCCAAAGGTAGCCTAAGATCTCAAGTCGGTGCGGAGCCCAAGTCGACGCCGCCTGGCGAGCCCTCCAAAGTATCTCCAGCAATATACAGCGACTGCTTCATGACATTGACGCGTGGAACATGGGTTTCAAACCATGCAGCGCAATCGGCAAACACGCTGCCAGACTCAATCCATTCGCAGACCGACCGTCGAAATATGTCTTGATCCTTTGATTGCCTCTTCGGCGTTGACGTCGCCCCTCGAGACATAGTAGCCGATCGCCCTCGCCAGCGGCGTCGCCCACGGCGGGCGGCCCCCCCCCCCCCCCGACTGTCCCGGGAACGCTGCGCAACATTTCCGCATGGCCCCAATACGCGGCGGAGAACGCGCCGAAAATCAACTCCACGACGCCGATCGATTGGACGGCATCTTCGCAACATGTCCAGTTGCGGCGGGGGAATGATCCAGAGCCGTTCCAGACTAGTGCACGGGCCCCTCTGGCGACAAGCTGCCCGAGAATGGCATCGTCGCTCTCGCCCCCAGTCGAGTGCGCGATTGCTTTTCCTTTGCTAGGTTGCCACAGCCAGTTAAACAGCGCAAGCAACTCGATCGCCTGAACAATTATCGGGCGCATCGGGGAATACATGGTTCAGAATCGCACGTTCCAATGAGCATCGCGCTGGGAGACGGCACGCCTTTCGACGGTCGCCGCGCTGAGCACGCAGCGAACTGCGCCGCGAAAGATCTTCAAGTGGTTCTGAAACGATAGCGACAGCGACGCGCGGTTCGGCTTGGACACGGCGCAGCACTTGCGCACGAAGCACCGCGTGCGAGTGCGAAGGGCCGCCCCCCCGGCATCAGCTCCACCTCGTGCAAGTGCTCGTGCTCGATCAGCCCTCTCGATGGTTTGGCCCCCGCCACTGGCCACGCACCGCTGCACCCGCTTGAACTCTGGGCAAATTTCACCAAAGCTCAACAACTGCTGCAAAAACTCTGCGCAAAAGTATAAATTTGATGCCCTCGTTCGCGCCATGCATAATAGAGGCAAAGGCGGCACTCATGTGAGTAAGACCAATGTCGACTGCATGTAAACAGACGCCAAGACCACGATCTCCGACTGCAACAGTTTGGCAACCCCAGTGTCACGTTCACCGACCACGTTAGCAGAGTTATTGGGCACCTGCTGTAGCCTCGTCAAGACGTCGTCGGGCAGACCACACAACTGATCCTGGTCCATGAATGTCATTTCAATTGGAGTTTCGTCGCACCGCCAGCACGTATATAGAGCGCGAAGTATACCGTCGCCGGCCGCAGCTACAATCTCACAAAGCTTAGTGATGTTATCCCGCACCTGCCATTAAAACAACATCAGAAAGACGCACGCCAATCGGGGGGGCGCGGAGAGCAGCACTTTTCTAGAGACGCCCAGCTGGTTAGCATGGCCAATGTACGCCTTGACTTTCAGCCACGCGCATCGCCTGGACACGGTATCATCCACGACCTTACTGAAGCTCACATCTTTGGTTATGCGAGCCAGGCCCCCACTGGCAATGAGTTTCGCGATGCTGGCAAGACCTTGGGCGCCCAACCGATGGCTGTCTGGCAGCGGCCGCCTGAGCTGGCCCGCGCCCCCTGGAGCAGGCCCGTCGGGAGGGGCCCAAGCGCCGCCGTCGCTCACATCCGCAATTTCCGGCAGCGGGCAGCGCGATTGACCCGGCGAACTCTCCACGAGACGCTTCGATTTAGCAGCAATTTCCTTCGGCAACGCATTGGAAACTGCAATGGGCACAACGGCTGGATCAGGAGGCGCCTCTGCCGAAACTGCACCGGCTGCTTCCAGTGCGGAGGGGGGCAGCTGGCACAATTGCGCTCTCAACCGAACGCCCCCCCGCGCCTGGCCGCTCGCCTTCCCCGCCTGGCCCGCTACTAGTGGGAGATACCTATCCAGCCAACGAGTCACCGACGTCCTCCCCAGCACCTGCTGTCGCGGCAACCTGCCCGAAAGCTTCGACGAGCTCACTGCTGACATCGATCCGTTCGAACATGCCGTCGCAGCTGGAAGCACCATCTGAGTCCAACCAATCATCTGTTCGGATATTGGGTTCACCCATGCAGACAAACTAAATGAACCAAAACTGCTACGGATTGATCGCTCCCCCTTGTATGCGATCGTTGTGATAGTGGTGCTGGCTGTACCTCGCGATCCTACACGTGTGTTATATACTGGCTTGTGCTCGACCGCTCTTCGTGCTTGCATTTACCTACGCTGCTGCTGCTCGCACGTGCCATGGCGCCCGAATGTGCGCGATGCTCGCGCCCCCGTGCAATGCCGAAAAAACCCGTGGCCAATCTGGGACACTACTACTAGCGCTTTCATTGGCTGCGGACCCGTCGGTGCTGCTGCCCCCCTCGCTCGCGAACAAAGAGAGATAAGACTTAGGCCATTCCCAGCCCCCCCCCCCCTCAAAAAAAAACAATGTTTTTGACGAGCCCCCCCCCTCTCCGATGGGCAGGGCCCCCCCACTTGCTTAGCCGATGATACTATGATACTATCGATTTTCCGTCCAGACCCTAAATGCTTAAAAAGCGTTTGAAACGTGTTTCTTTTGTCTGGAAAGTTTCATCTGAGTTGTTCCTAGGGGATCGAACTTCTCAAGGCCAGCAGGACCATCATCTGCACCATCAGCACAAATGCCTCCAGGTAGGGCCAGTTCGGGAGCTGAAAGCCACAACCGAATCTCTTGGCGCCCATCGGAGTGTCGATGTCCGCGGTTGCAGTTGAGGATGGTCAGCAGCACGCCCCGATTGGTTGCGCCGATGGCAGGGCCCAAGGGATCCATGACGATCGTGGCCTTAGAACTCCACTGCAACGAGGCCGAACCGCAAGCGCCTTGCAGGATGTGCCTCCGAACCCAGCGAAGCCGCCCCGCCACCACCATCGCCGCGAAGGGGAAATGGGAGCAGGTGCCCCCAGAAAGCTGCAGGGGCAGGCAGGTGCCTGAGCCAGAAGCAGCGAGGAGGAGGAGGAGTGCAAGTACCCCAAGAGGAAGAGACGATGGGCAAGCGGACACGAAGCGAGACGAGGGCAAGATGACCGTCCGCTCCATGCCGACCACCCGCGACTACTTCCAAAGCAGAGCTTTGGCGGCGCTCAACCTTTCAGCAATTGCGGCTGGGGTCGGCGCGGCGTGCTTCATTTTGTTATAAAAGTGGGAGGCGAGCACAATCCGCTGAATCGTCCGCGTCAACGAGAGCTCGCTCGCGGGTTCGGACGGATATGCTGCAGCGGGGCCCAGGCCCCAGCGTGCAAGCGCGCTGCGGAGGGGGAGCGAGTCGGGGGACCAGGGGAGGCTCAGGAGGACCGAGCAGGAGAGGTAGTGGGGAAATGAATCGCGCGCCTCGGGGCACCCAAATCCACACGTCTTCTGCTGGAGAACGTGCATACGATGGGTCGTAGCCCAGCCGCCTGCGAGTGTCTTGTGCACCGCCCAGCGCCAGCTCGGGCGGACAGCGCGCATGGCATCCGTGAGAGCAGCCCAGCGGGTCGCGAGCTCAGTGGGTGGAGGCGGCTGAGGAACGCCCCAGGCGGCGACGCGCTTCTCGAGCGTGACCGTGAATGGCGACGAGAAGGAGGCCCGCTGCAGAGTGAGCGCAACCGCACGCTGTACCTTGGGGCGGCGCGGTGGCTCAGCACTCGGGGCCTCACGAATTTCGCGGGCAGCTGCACGGATCGCCGCTGCCACGGCTGCTGATGGGAAAGGAGCGGCACTCTTGCCGCACGCAAGCGCATGGTAGAATTGAACGATGACCGTGGGTTCTTCCCGGAAATGTAGGGGCCACTGACCTTGAAGCCATCGATGGAAGCTGTGTACAGCACTCTCCTCCCACGCAGTGTCCTGCAGGCGGGTGTGGAAAGATTCCCATTGCCCTCGGAGCGTGAAAGTGGCCGAGCGAATGGCGGCGACAACTGTAGAAATCTGAGCGGAGCGAGGGACAGGAGGCGGGCACCACCCCGCCATTGCAATGAGGTCAGCGTTGCGAAAAGTGTTTGGGGGCAGGCTAAGCATATTATGGAACATGTAATGTTCACGACGGGCAATATTCTGATCGAGCGGGAAGAACTGCGAGACATGGCTGAGCGCTGAAACGACAGATGCGTTGTGGAGGCGAACGGTGGCGTCGCTGCCACCCTGCACAAGCTGAAGAGCGTTCCCGCGCTGCCACCATTTCTGCCCAGGAGCGAGCCATTGGTGAGCGAGGGTGGCCGCAGGCCCGAGGAAGGTCCCAAGGTACTTGGCTCGCCCCGACACCGAAAAGCCGCCCCAGGGAGGACAGAGCTCGGCCAGGAGCGCTTTCGTTTGGGCGGTGGTGGCAGGCGTCGATTTCTCCCAAAGCGGGACGATGACACACTTGCGAGGCTTCAGAGAGAGGAGCGCAAGCTCCTCAGCTGCGGCAAAGGGCTCAGAGGCGGCTCGCAGCGTGCTGAACGAGAACGTGAGGAGGCCAGCGTCGTCCGCGCAGACGCCAAGGTAGCCCTCGTCGTAGTCGGGCTTGCCGTCGGCAGACTCGACGAACGAGGCGATGCGGCGAACGAGAGGGTCCATGGCGATCGCGCACGCCGAGCCGCTCGCAGGGCAGCCCTGGGCCACACCAGACTCTATCGGGAACATGAAGTGGCGAACGCCATCGACCTTGAGGTACCTGTTGGGAGCGCGGCACAGCTGGCGGGAGAGGCTCATGAGGCCCTCGGGGACGCCGAAGCGCTCCAGCGACGCGAAGAGCCATGCGCGTCCGAGCGACGGGAAGGCCGCCGCGAAGTCGAAGCTGGTAAAGACGGGTTTGTGTTTGTCGGCGTCGGGGCGAACTCCAGCGCGGCGCATCTCGGCGTCGAGGTTGACGATGCCCTTGGTGAAGTTGCGGCCCACGACATAGCCCTGCTGCGAGTAGTGAGTCCGCTCTGCCACAGCGGATGTCATGAGGAAGTTGGCCGCACCTGCGATGGCCTTGACGTCCGTTTTCTTGAGGGACAGCGGTCGTGAGTCCTCAGGCAAGCGGTCCGTGGTGAGCTCGCCCGCGAGGTTGTCGCCCTTCGGCAGGAACGCGAAGTCAGAGTCGTTCAGGTCGTGGATGAAGTCGGGGTTGGCGCAGAGGTGCCAGGCAAGGTCTTCCAGCAGGTCCAGAGACGCGCCCACGGCAAGCCAGGCGCGGCACGGCAAGAGGTCGGGCCCAGGTGCAGACGGGGTAGTGCGCAGCAGAAAGCCTCTGACGTGCGCCTTGGAGGGCGCGCCGACGTCGATGATGGGATGGGTGGGCATGTGCTGGTCAATGTACTGCTGGACCTTGGAGACGTCGACGTGCTTGCGCTCAAAGACGGGCCGCCAGTGAGCGCGGAGGGCATCCGCCACCGCACAGCTCTCTCTGGCTATTCCTGGGTGGCCCTCGGGATCGGTGGTCTTGATTCCCTGGAGGACCATGCGGCGCTTCCAGGGGGCCCACAGCAGGGCCCTGCGCTGGGAGGATCGAGTGATTTGTCTGAGCTTCTTGGAGTCGACGACTCCTGGGGAGCCTCGCGGCAGCTGGGCTGCGCGCTGAGCCAGAGATCGCTGCCTGGCCTCGAAGTCGCGGTGCAGCGCGGCGGACTTCATGGCGAACTCGGCAGCATCCGAGAGCGTGATGTTGCCGTCGTCGATGTTGAGGAACTTGGTGCCAAGCTCGGTGGTGGACTGCAGACGGCGAGCGAAACGAATATCTTGGCGCCAGACTGCGCGCGAGATCGAGCGCGCCGCGATCACCTGGCCGTCGGAGTGGTTAGACTTGCCGATATCACCGGCAGCGCGGCTGACCCAGTCATCACGAACCATCCTCGCAGCCTCGACCATGAGGGTCTTGTGTGCGCGCCAGCGGTTCTCGATCGTCCTGTGGCGCGTGACAGCGTGATCAAGCAGCTGCTGGAGGTACTTGGCGTACGAGGGGTCGCGGAAGATCGCGGGAGAGATCGCCTGCTCCTCTATCGGGGTCTTCGGCTTGATGCCGATGGAGTACGAGACGATGGCATGGTCGCTGAGGAGGCTGCCCGAGAGGATGGCAGCGCCGTGTGCGATGGCGCTGCAGGACGTGAGCTCGAGCATCGCGTGCGACGGCAAACTGATGAAGATCCGAAGATCCTATCGATGGCCGACGCGGAGTAGTCGGCCTTGTTGAAGCGCGTCGGGAGGTCCGATTCGATCTCGAGCATGCTGTCGAAGAGGGCCTTCCAAAAGGGCTGCTACTGGCGCGCACTATTGTCCAGAGCCAAGCGTGCATTCTGTGGTTGAGGTTGGAAGAAGCTGTTGGGCGGGCGGCTGGCCGTGTTGAAGTCGCCCAGAGCGAGGAAGGTACGGTGCTGGTAGTTGGCCTCCGCCCAAGTGCGGTGCGTGTGCCATGAGCGCTGGATGCGCTCGCGACCCCGAGCGTCAATCTCGTGGTTGTGGACGTTCATGATGAACATGGTGTCGCGCGAGGAGGCGTTGGTGATGGCGACCGCCTGGGCGAGCCCTTTGACGATCTCCCCATGGCTGAAGATAGGAAGCTGCTCGGGCTGCATGAGCTCGAGCTGCGCGTGCGGGAGCCAAGGAATAAGTAGAGCCACACCACCCGTGCCTGCGTGGGCTTCGCCATCGTCTGCCGAAACGAACTGAGAAAAGAAGAGCTTGCACGGGCACGGCTGCGCGTCCACCCACGTGCGGAGAAGCGCTTCTGAGCCATGGACCTCCTGCAGGGCGATGACAGCGCCCTTCCTCATGCACTGCTGCAGTGCTGCTTGTTTGCGGTGACGCCTGGAGCGCTTGTGGCACATGAGAGCTCTGGCGTTCCACGTGATGAACATGCTGGGCCTGTCGTCCTCGACGGGCCTCCACGGGGCCCAGGGGCGGTTAAACCCGCCACGTTGCCTCCGCGGTGTCCGCGAAGAGCGCCTGGAACGACGTGAGGATGGCACCGCGGTCGATGTCGCGGAAGGCGGGGGGCTCGAACGCCTTCTCGTTCCACTCGAGGATGGTGGGGTCGGTTTGTCCCTTAACGCCCCGGCGCACGACAGGCATGGCATTGCAATGGATCTCGCCTTTGGCGCGATATGCTCTCCAGGACGTTTGAGGGTGACGGTGTTGAAGGAGCTGAAGAAGTTTCTTACACTGGATCTCGGTGCGGATCTGCTTCGGCGACTTGTCGGGGTTGAGGTAGATGTCAGTCGGGGTGCCCGAGGTGTCGACTGATGCGAAGCGCTTCCATTTGCCACCAGCGTCACGTAGGGCACGGGTGAGCGCCAGGGCACGCGGAATAGCAACGTCACGACCGCCTTTGACTTGAAGCACAAATCTACGCGCGGGTTCGTCACCGCGAAGTCCGACGGCGTCGGAGCCCAGGTTGGCCGAGGCGATCCAATCCTGCAAGTCGTTGAGGAGCGCGTCGGGGGCGATGAGCCGCTGCGCCCCAACAGTGAAGATCGCGGGGTCGATCTCGCGATCCCAGTCGGCGAGCCTGGAAAGGTCCGCGATCGGCACCTGGGCCTCGGCGAGAGCGAGGGTCTCTCGCATCTGGTCAATCTGCAGCCACACCTTTTTCTGTTCATCAGCTTGGCGGTCTTGTTCTCTACGTGTGCGTGCGGCGACATCATGAAGGGTGTCAACTCGGCGTTCAGTGGCCTGGACTTGCTGCGCGAGAAGTTGGCGGAAGCTTTCACGCGACTCGTTGAGCAAATGGCTGGCTTGGGCTTGGAAAGTACTGGCAGCGTGAGCAACTTGAGCTTGCATGAGATCTTGGAGAGCTTTGTCGAGGTCAGGGTCCAGTCCTGGAAGACGAGCGGGTTCGCCAGGAGCGGCGGTCTCGGTGTCGGCGGTGGTTCCGACGGCGGCCGCTCCTCCAGGGGCTGTTGCCCCTCCAGTACGCCATGGGTCAGCAGCGTTGAGAGGGTCATGATGTGGTGCTTCACGAAGGGGCACGGTCCACTCACCTGCATGAAATTGATGTGCTGCGGGGGCGGCGGCGGCTCGTGCTGAGAGTGCAGCTTCCTCATCTCCAGTGTCCATGGCGAAGTGGGACGGCTGCTGGTGCGAACGGGCAGAAGAACGGCATGAGCGCGCGGTATGCCCAGATGCACGTCCCGATCGTGGTGCCGCCTGAGTGGCGGGGCCAGCGTCGTCGAGCGGGTCCGTGGAGGCACGCACTGCTCGACCACTTTTATCCGCACGGTCTGGGTAACCTCGAACAGCGCGATCTTGGTCATGACGTTCGCGGTCTCGACGGCGATCTTTCCTTCTGCGGCTGGCAGATGGGGCACTGCGTGAGGTAGAGCGTTCTACACTGGAGGAAGACACGTCTGCAACTGAGGGCTGCGGTTGAACAGGCTGCTGTTCTGCTTCAGGAAGTTGGGTATGAGAGCTCCAGGCCCCAGGGCCTTCGCGATGCCACCACGTGGCGACTGTTGCTGCTGGGGAACGAGCGCGTCGACGTCCAGCTCGTTATGGATGCGGAAGACGGCGACGTGAGACGAGCCGAAGTCCAGCTGGCTCGCGGCGACGGAGGTCGGACCGCTCGACAGCGCAATATGGAGGGCAGCCTGCAATGCCAGAACAATGAGCAGGAGTGGGCGGCCGCAAGCCCCTGGGAGTGGCGGCAGAAAGCTTGGGTGCCAGCTCACCCCTGGATGTGGCTGGAGACAGTTGGGGACTGGCCTCGGCTCAGAGGTCTCCATGCGGCCGCAGCGCGACATGGTGACTTGAGCCAAAATGGCTACGGAAGGAGGAGGAGGAGGAGGAGGAGGAGGATGCTCCATCAGTCCCCGACTCTCTGGTCTACCGGATCCTCGTACAGGAGCTCGTCCTTGAAGAGGTATTTCCCCTCCACGGCGTAGCCCCGCTCCCAGCGGGCCTGGTAGCGGCCCCCGTTCGGGTACACAAGGGCTCCCTCGCCGTGGAACTCGCCCTTGCGGAACTCCCCCTCGTAGACCACGCCGTTGGGGAACTTGAACCTCCCCTCGCCCTCGAACCTGCGGGGAAGACACAGGGCTGGCAGCGCACGCGAGGGGGCGGAGGGAGCTGGCCTTCGAAGAGTGCAGAGGGGGGGCGTCTCACGGGCCCCCCGGCGTTCTTGCTGAGACCCCGAACTGCTGGAATCCCAGCCGTCGCGCCAAGACAGCTTCAGGTTAGCAGATTATGGGATTCTGGCGTGGTGCACAAGCTCGTAGATCATGCCTGAATGCGGTCATAGTTTGTCACGAGCATGCGGTGGTCAGAGCAGGCAATAAAAAACAGATACGCATTTAAAATATAACGATCCTCCACCGTGCCGCTGGGCACGGTGTGGACGTGTCCTCAGGTCCTTTGCCCAATCCCCTGAGCCTAAGGGTTTAAAGGGGGCCCAGACCCAAAGTTGCCCAATCTCCCGGGGCTTGGCGCGTTCCCCCTGGGCTCCCCCGCGTCTCCCCGCGTGACTTGTTCTGGTCCAAGAGGGCCCCCAGACGGGCGAAGACGGTCCAAAAGGGCCCAAGAGGCATCCCAAGAGGGCCCTAGGGGGCCAAAATCCGTCATATGCCTTAGTTTGTTGAAGGCTTTCAGCGGTCTCGCCTTGTCGGCTTCCCGACGCTCCCAGACGGCCCCAGAGGCCCCCAAGGTCGACCAAAGACGGCCCAAGACGCTTCCACGAGGGCCCCAAAACGGCCCAAGGGGTCCCCAAGACGGCCCAAGATGCGCCCAAGCGGTGCCCAAGACGGTCCAAGGGGCCCCAAAGAGTCCCCAGGAGGCCCCCATAAGGCCCCAACAGGCTCCCAAGAGGCCCCAAAACTGCCTCCAAAAGGCCACCGAGAGCGCTCCATAAAGACCCCAAGAAGCATCCCTGAGAACTCTGACCCACAACCCAGGCACGGTGGCGGGATGGGCCGAAGGCCATTCGGATATCAATTCGGCTTCGCGGCACCGTCAGTGTACTACATTCTCTGGAAACTCAACCTAAGATACCTTTTGCGAACCACCAAGATTCAAGTGGTTTGATCTGAGCCGAGAGGCGTTCGTGGAAGCCGCCGATCCCCGATGGGAGGCCCTCCTCAACTTTCTTACGAGGTGCTGCCCCCAATCGCGCCACCCCCTGCGGCCCGACACCGGAAAGGAGGGGGGAAACAAGGCGAACAGCGGCCTGCAGCCGACGACACGCGGCCGACCCACCGCCGATTGACCGTCGACCGAGATCGGAGAATGGCCAACTGCGACAACGGCGGCGCTCCCGCCAGGCCCAGATCCGGTCAAAACCACAACTCTCGGCCCCCCCCCGAGGGTCCGTCCTGAGCCGTTTTCCGAGGCGCGGATCCAGCCGTGGCGACGAGAAGCGCACAGGAGGCCCCGAGTAGGGATGCGAAAGACGCCGTACTGGGGGGGGGGGGGCGGGGGGGCGGGGCGGGTCGCCGACCCTCGCCCTTGGTGCCAGGTCTGGACCCCCGGGCCTGCTCTTCCGGGCGCGGATCCGGCCGTGGCGATGAGAAAGCCCCCGGGAGGCCCCAGGGAGGACGCAGGAACGCCGAGCATGGGGGTCGCAGCTGCCTCGACTGGCCCTCCTCCGATCGCCCTGGTCCGGAGCTCTCCTGGGTATACGGCCAGACCTGGGACAGGAGAGCATCCTCCAGGAACATGAGGCCCTCCGCCGGCCAAGACGAAGCACACTCCAGGGTATACCCTCCCCCAGGATGCACAAGAACACCCAACAAACACGAAGGACATTTGGGCACCCTCCCCGAACCGACCCCGATCTCGTGCCTCGGTCCGACCGTATCCCTGAATCTTTCCTCCGAGACGCGGATGCAGCCACAGCGACGAGGAGGCCCGACAAAAAGGGCGACCAGCGCTGGCGAAGGCCGCCGCCGCCTCGATCGACGGGCCACCCTCCGGCTCCGTGGGCGCGGCGGGGCCCGCCCGCGGCCCCCTCTGGCGACGAGCCCTGCCGGTGCTGGGACCGACGGGCCCCCCGCCCACCCGTGGCCTGGGCCGCCGACGCCGCGACCGTCGGGTCCGAGGGTCGCGGCGTCGGCGACCCTTTTCCTCCTCAAGGAGGAAAAGGGCACCCATGCCGCTACCCTTCGCCTGTTTGCCCCTCTCTGGGCCCCCTGGGGAGGCCCTCGTCGCCACGGCGGGGCTCGCGGTGGCAGATTCTGAACGGAACGCGCCACGGGAGAGGTCTGGGGAGCAGCGGTATCGGTACCGCTCGGTTTCCCCAGCGGCTCCATCAAGCTGGTTCTCTTCCTCCGGACCGGCGGCGAGCCCAGGGAGTAAGTCAGAGGGGGTGGGTCTTCTCAGAAGGCTCGGAAGGCCTCCGGGATTCTGAAAACTGGTCTGAGCCTTCTCCGAAAACAGAGCCGGCTTCTCAGCGCGAGGGCTTCTGAGGAGCCCCGCCCCCCTCTGAGAAGGCCTGCCCCCTCCCACTTCCCCAGGCTCGCCGCCGACCGGAGCCCAGATCACCAGGATGACGGCCACATGCTAGATCACACTACGCTGGGGGCACTG